ACAGAAACTATTTATTTATTCGTGGTTTTTAGTATTGCCTGTTCACCGCCCTGAGTCCCGCAAGGGAGATAAGGCGGTATATAAATTTAATAAATAATAATAATAATAATCAAGCATAGCCGGCCACCGGACCGAGCACCTGGGAGGCGGCAGGGGGAATTCCCTGGCGGCGTGGGCACGGGGTGGAGCCACCCGCAGAGACTCTGTGGACTGGAGCGCTTTGCAGCAGCGCCTGGAGCAGCCTACCGGTGTGTGGAAGGCTGGAACAGCACGGAGACGTTGGCGCGATGACCGGCAGGAGGGAGGCCGGAGTTTGGACTACGGCTTTTACCTCCACGGATCGGATGCTTGCTTGCTTGCTGCTTGGGGCGGGACCGCAGGGTGGGGGACGTCTATGTAAAGCACTGGGAGCAAACCACTCCCAGTGCTGACTTTAACTTTGTACAGAATAAAACCTGTTGGATCACCTTGTTCCTGGATTCTGTTTTCTCAGACGACGAAGGACATCTGGCACTTACATTTAATAACTGTTCAAAAAGTTACAACGAAAGCTCCTTATGACTCATCTTCAAAGTTACGACTGCTGCCCCCTCTGTGGTCACATGACCACCTTTCTGATGAGTTGCAGTGTTCCAGTCCTAACTGCAATCTGCACATTTTTTGCGGGTTCCAGCAACACCCCCTCCCGCTCTTTAGGAGAATGGATTCACTTAGATACAACTCACTTTATGACTGTGGCAGCTCATTTTACCACCATTGTAAAAAATGGCCATGAAATTGAGTCCAGTTGTGCCATTGACTCATGACAGTGATTTACAAGCAAAATTCCAGGCTTCAATGCGGTCATAAAACGAGGACTACCTGCACGGGTGGATTACCTATATAGGACTTGAAGTTCAAGGTTCCTTTCGTGTCCTAGTGTACATTTGGAAGATGGAGAGATGGGGGTTGTACAGCTGCTTAATGTACCTTCTATGCATGCTGTCTAAAGTTGCTTTGTGATTGGGCAGCCTTAGAAAGCAAATGGATGAATGGAATGTTTTGTTGTGTTAAAAAAGAACAATGACACTGTTACGAGCAATGTGCAACGGATGCATAAAGAAGTTAGACCCAATCCTAAAGAATCCTAAACAAAGTAAATTGATAACGTAGTCATATGGCATGAATGGCACCAGGAAATCACACTTCCTCTTTATCTTGTTATTTGTTCTGCTTAGTTAACAGTTGGGCCAGAAAAGGAAAGAGGTTTTGAATAACAAAAACTTATGCTAAATCCCTTTCCTTCACTGCATTTAAGTCCCTATCTGCCTTCACCTCTGTTCATCTTCATTATATGAAACCTGTTTCTCTTCTTCCGTAATCCAGAGACCTGCATAACTTTCCTATTAAAGGGGAATGCCCAAGGAGGTTAAGATCCCTTTTGGGTGGACAGGTGCCAAACGTAGGACTGAGTGTGTGGATTCTTCGCTAGAAGCATTGCATTTATTAAATCAGGGTACCTTCCCCATGTCCTCGCTTCCCATGACAGAAGGAAAGAGCAGGTGGAGGCGCCTCCATTTCAGCCGGATGGGAAGAGTTTTCCACTGACAAAGAAAGAAGATGGTCACATAGGGAAAGCATGGAATTCAATGGGAAGATTATGGTTTGAGGAAAAGGTAATAATTAACAGTCCGGAACTCACTCTAGCTACCTCGTACAAGGAGAATCTTTACAAGATGTTCTGTAGATGGCACTTCCCACCCGCAAGGTTAGCTAAAATGGGTCCAAATATCTCACCTTTATGCTGGAAATATAAATCAGCAATAGGATCATATTACCATATGAGGTGGGAATGCCCAAAGGCTCGTGAGTATTGGAACAGGACACGAAGTTGGTTGAAAGATATATTAATATTGGACTTAAGAGTTAAAACCCAAACTCTTCTTGTTGGGAATAACTACAGAGAAATACGATAAGGGAACAATCTATTTGCTGTTACACATCTTGACTGCAGCTAGGCTTGCGTTTGCGCAAAAATGGAAGAGCAAAGAAATTCCCACAGAGGAAGAGTTACTATATAAAATATTAGCATGTGCGGAAATGGACAGGCTCACAATGGTATTGAAAGACAAATGTAGATCAGTTTATTTCGAAACCTGGGATAAATTTTACCGCTAGAGGGATTTGAGGACGACGGTTGGGATTAAAGACTAGTGTTAAGATAGAAATATGTGTTATTTTAGAATAAGTACTGTATATAAAACTTAGATGTATATCTTGAGATGAAGAATCGATTGTAAAATGTGGAATCATTTGATAAGACTGTATATACTGGAATGTCACGTTATATCCAATGTTTTTTAATTGTATTATAAATAAAATTTTGTAAAATAATAATAATAATAATTATCAGTCCTGGAGCGATCCAAGATTCAGGTCTCTGAACATCCAGGTAGCCTCTTATAAGAGTCTGAGCTGGGTTTATCTTCAAAGAACCCTGTTCTGAATATGTGAAGTTGAATAGGAAGAGAGAACTAACTTCCTTACCTACAAAATTGAAAAGAGGGAAAGGAGGAGTTGCTGAAGGCCATCCTGAACATCTTGCTAGGATAGGATTACTGTAATATATATACACTGCTTACTTCTACTGGCTTCTACATTGTACTCTTACACCCTGCTTTTTATCGTTGGTGCCTCGTTGAATACAGCCACACTCACCTTGAGTGCCCTCTGAGTAGGAAGCTCTAAGTCGGATCAATAGCAACAGGAGACAATGTGGAGCCCATTACAAACACACCCAGCAGATACTGATGACACGGTCTTTTGATCACAAAAGAAACAGTGGTGTAGCCATTTATTATTTGTTCACTAAGATTACAAAGATTAAAAAATAAATCTGAACATTTAAGGTGTCTTTCTTTTAAAGCTGGCCAGTTCCAAAAAAAAAACAAAAAACCACACATACGCTTGTGGTTTCAAACAGGGAAGAGAGCGGATTTTGACATTTGGAAGAGAACAATCCAGCAATGAAACTCAACTGAGATTTTTTTTTTTTTTTTAAAAAGAAAATTACAACCTGAGCACAAAGAATATGAAGCAAGCTTTTACCTATTTAAACTTGAACCTCGTGCCGAAAATCAAAATGCCATAAAATTGATTAGGTTCCAACAATTCCTTCATTAACTAATAAAGTGACAAAAGCGTTTCAATGATAGAAGTCATCCACCCGTGATGCTCACAGCTTCAAAAGTTTCTATTGCACTCCAGAAAGTTATATGTTATACTAGGATTGACAGTCATGTGCTAGCTCCAAGGTAAGAAAGGCCATTTTATGGCCTGGAAACGTCCCACGGCCCCGTTCTTCTGACTTTTTGTCATGTGTTAGGTTACACATTAACCACACACACACAAAGCTGGCAGCTGGGTTTCCCAGAGATACCAGTGTACTTCCACTATTTATGTCATCTAAAAGATCACCCAGCAGTAAGGTGATTTTCTTGACTTAATCTCTTCAGAGCCAGAATGAGGTTGCACGCCAAGCTGCTGGACGACGGGAGAGGATCAGTTTGACTGCTTCTCTGTCACTCTAACTCCTTGAAAACTGAGATCCATACAGCTGATAAGGAGTTGCCCAAAATTCTTTTGGAGGCTTCCTGTCGGCAGGATGTATTTTATACAGAAATGCTTTGGCTTGCCTCAACAGATAAAAGGCCTCTAAGTGACTGTCTCATTCTGTGACCACCTGCAGAAGTTAAGGGAAAGAAGTGCAGAAAGTGGACAGGGAATTGGGAACCCCGGATGAATGTCCTATCATATGATGAAGGCTCAAGGCAACTGGGCTTCACACCCAGATATTATTAAGCCTACTAAATGAAAATGGAAATGGAAAATTTCTCATGTCGTACGGAACATAAAACTTAAAAAGAATATGAAGGCCACAGGACAAATTCAAGCCAGCGACGATATGAAAAAGCTGCTTCACATTACAGGACTGTCTATGCAATTATAGAAACACCAGTGCTGAGTTCAGATAGGCGGGAGGGGGGGAAAGCAATATACGCACCACCCTTACTCTTGAACCTTCTGCCACCTCTCTATAAAATGGTGCCATTGATCTACTCCTGTTTTTTTCTGTCCTTCGCATAGCTATGGAGTGGAATGGGCCCATGAAAGATTTCCACAAGGACTTCCTTTCTGGGATTCAAAAGTGAGTGGCGGTCTTCCGCCAGAATGGTAGACTTTGGATTCTGAATAGCTCCTATTGCCGTTGGGTGGTTTGTGCAATGTGCAATGGATTACAACGGTTCTTCCCCCCCCCCCCCCAACGTGATTGTTCTCCTTCTGAAGTCAATCATGGGAATGCGGAGGTGAGGATTGGAAAGATCTTAATTAATGGAGGTGCTTGGCAGAGCGTGGTGGGGTGACGAATATTAAAGCCGACATTCTTCAAGCCAAGTAATTTACCTGCAGTCTAGCGTCGGAAAAGGCGCAGCTGATCTAAGTGATCAGCCCAAGACTTGGGCCGTGTTAAGCCAAGCATTAAAACGCTGGCAGTTGACCTACGTTGACACTTAAGACAGGGAGTACAGGATAGTCGCTTTCTCAATATTGCCGTCTACGGACAGGAGATATTCAATCACTGCATCGAGCGACGCATGCCTCAGCGGAACAGGGCACTTTAGGGACAGGAGTCAATCTGCATAAACTCTGTTCCACGCGCACGACGTTGACTCTGATTCTAACATCAATGAATCTAGGAGGCAAAGTCAGCCTGTTCATTCCACATTCCTTATAGATCAATTTCACAGACAGTAAGTACCGCGTCATTTAGAGGAAAGCCACAGAGCACTGCCTATTGATTGGTTCTGGGTCACAACGTGGGAGAAAAAACACTCCGACATCAAAGTCACTGAAAGGGGAATTAACAGCCCAGAGCTTTGAAAGAGGAAATGAGTCATGACAATGGGCAAAGTGCATAGGCACAATTAAAAGCACTTTCGTTGCTCTCCCCCTCCCCACACCCCCCACCCCCGGGCATAGTAGCACAGCCAATAGGCTCTGAGGCTGTACTGACGAAAGGCTGGACATCGTCCGTGTTTTCTACGTGCCGTTTTCAAAATGAGTTCTCATGCGACACAGGAGCGTGCAGAATGGTCTGGGTTTAGATCTGCAGGGAAAAAAAACAACAAAAGACGTAAATTGCTTGGCAAGTTCAAACCACAGGTGTTTAAGTTGTATTTTTCGATATTGAAAAACCAATGAAAAAAAGATTGGGTGTGTGGGGGGGGAAGACAGAAGATGGCCCTTCCTTAACCACATACAGGTATGACAATTCAAACTTATGACAGATTCAAAAAAGCTACTGGTGACTTGTCCTCAAAAGTTATGACTGTTGCAACATGCCTCCCACGGTCATGTGATCAAATTTCAGGCATCTGGCTACCGGTTCACATTTATGACTGGTGGCAGTGTCCCAAGGTCATGTGACCACGATTTGCTATGTTTCGGGGAGTTGTCCAGCAAAAAATTACCAAAAATGCCATTGGATACGCTGGATTCACTTAATGACCACGTGGCTTGCTTAACAATCATCTTGACTTACTTTACAACTGTCGTAAAAATCGAGTCCAATCATGTGGTGCCTCAGCTTACAACTGCAACGACTTAAGACCAAAATTCCAGGCTCCATTGTGGTTGGAAGTCAAGGACTACCTATACTAATTAATAATGACACAGTAGCACAACAGATTTTGTGTTCCCACCAGTAAAAGCAGATTTTGGAGGAGTTTTAAAGATCTCTACTAATTACAACAAACTAGAAAGAGAGGAAGGATTCTTTTATTACAGAGAAGAGATTTGAGGGTTGTTGTGTTTTTTTTTAAAAAAAAAAACCCCAAGGCAATACTTTAGATGTCTTTTTGAAGCTTTAAACTCAACTGTTCTGTATGAGCCAATAAGCTAAGTTCCAAAGCACAGACCTAATGCTTATTTCTTCTGACTATAAATCTGGTCTTGTAGATTCCAAACGGGAATAAAATACCAAACAATGAAAGCAAAAACCCAGACAATTTATCATCAGCAACATGGGTCAGAAAAGTGAATGCATGCTGTGACATATGTCTAATTCGGAGGTGTCCAATCTTGGCAGGACCTTAAGACCTGTAGACGTCAACTCCCAGAATTCCCCAGCCAATCATGGACCTTGAGCTTGCCAAGGTTGGACATCACTGGTCTAATTGAACTATAATGAGGTACATATCATTGCAAGCAGCTGTGAGAAGTGATTGTGGCTTTAAAGAATAAAAAAAAATATCATGAATTTGGCTGTTTTGATGCTCATGGTGGGAGAGCTTACCTTTTGATCCAATCGCTGATAGTCACTGGATTTGGGTCTTCGGGCTGTCTTTGCTTTTTTCCCTTCTAGAGCAAAAGCAATAATCTTTGCAAGGGAAGAAAAGAGAATCAATGTCATTCACAAGAATCTGAACCATCATACGGTCTAATTTCCCATTAAAGTGAGCAAATCAGCTTGTCATAAATGTTAAACTAGAAAAAAAGCACATTTCAGCAGAGCCTTAAAAGGAAAGATGGCACTGACAGTAATAGTAAAAACTGTAAGGTTAGGTCTGACCAAAGGGGGAAAAACCAAGTCTCATTTAGAAAGTAAGACATGATTCATTGTCATAACCCATCATGTCATCCAGAGAATACAGAATATTCATAATTGGAGCGTTGCTTGTAACAGCTTCTCTACGGCCAATAGATTACATCTTTTCCAAAGTAAGAAAAATGAACAACAGCTTGGAGCATACACCAAGAAACACATTTTAAAATACCTAGCTTTTTAGAAGTTTTACATAGCATTAGTATGGTTTACTCAGCATGGCCCTGATAACACAAAATCAATATCCCAATATATTTTGAGGGATACGTTTTCCGATTGTTTTCATTTTTGAAAACCCAGCAAAAAAAAAATAATAATAAACCAGGTCCTAAGTTAAAATAGCCTTATTAAAATTAGTTTGAGGAAATATGGCTATGTTCTATAAGATATTACACTATTTCTTCTAAAGATGCCTTGAGGAAACAGCTTTTCATCATCAGTCTACACAATAGATCGATAGACAGAGATAATGGATGGCTGGAAGGATGAACAGATATAAAGGATAGATAGATAGATAGATAGATAGATAGATAGATAGATAGATAGATAGACAGACAGACAGACAGACAGATAATGGATGGATGGATGGACAGAAATAAAGGATAGGTAGGTAGGTAGGGAGATAAGTAGATAGATAGATACAGATAGATAATGGATGGCTGGAAGGAGGGACAGATATAAAGGATGGATGGATGGATGGATGGATAGATAATAATGATAAAGTTGGAAGGGACCTTGGAGGTCATCTAGTCCAACCCCCTGCTCAGGCAGGAAAACTTATACGATTTCGGACAAATGGCTGTCCAGTTTCTTCTTAAAAACTTCCAGTGTTGGAGCATTCACCGCTTCTGGAGGCAGGTTGTTCCACTGGTTAATTGTTATAACTGTCAGGAAGTTTCTCCTTAGTTCTAGGTTGCTTCTCTCCTTGGTTAGTTTCCACCCGTTGCTTCTCGTCCTGCCTTCAGGCGCGTTGGAGAATAGCTTGACTCCCTCTTCTTTGTGGCAGCCCCTGAGATATTGGAACACTGCTATCATGTCCCCCCTCGTCCTTCTCTTCGTTAAACTAGACATCCCCAATTCCAGCAACCGTTCCTTATATGTTTTAGATAGACAGACAGACAGATAATGGATGGATGGACAGATATAAAAGATAGGTAGGTAGGTAGATGATAGATAGATGATAGATAGATGATAGATAAATAATGGATGGATGGAAGGAGGGACAGATATAAAGGATAGATAGCTAGATAGCTAGGGAATCATCAACACTAACAAGTCAAAATACTCACTTTCCGTTTATTATGATACGCAATGTATAGTGCAGCAACAACAATAGCGGTGGTCACCAAGTAGGCAAAGAAGTGGCTGTTTTCAGATCCATTCTTGGGTGTCCCCTCAGAATCTTCCTCATGCTTTGCACTCTTTTTCTTTTCATCACCCAACCCTTTCTCTGGTTCATCTCCAGGATCAACTACCTCTTCCTCAGCTTTTTTGGGTTCCATGGGATTTGACTTTTGAAGCTGCTTAGCAGAGAGATCTGATTGAAGATCCTGGTCTTTTGCTAACGTGTCTTCCATTTGTTTTGACTCCTCACCATTTGTCTCTTCTTCAGAAAAATCTGGATCAGAAGTGTCAGTGTTCGTTTTTTTATTTTTGGCTGGAACAGGATTTAAGTTTGAAGAAGGGTCTTGAGCATCAGGCTGGATGTTCACAACTTTAATTGGTGGGTCCTCCCCCTGCTTTGAGTCCTTAGTTTTTGGCTTTGGAACAGAGGCGTCTTCTTGAGCATTGGGGACTTCAGCAGAATCTTCCTTTGTAGAAGGAGTTTTTTGAACAGGCAAACCTGACTGGGGATTCTGGTCTTTTGGTTCTAAGACTTTTGATGATTGTACTTCCTTAGCGTTTAAATCTGAATGTGAAGCGTGTGTCTCAGATTCTTCCAAATCATCGGGGTTTTCCTGACTATTTTTAGTTTGAACAGAATCTGTTTTTCGAGAGTCTTGAGCAGGACCGTCAGAGTTGTCGGTGTTCGTTTTTTTATTTTTGGCTGGAACAGGATTTAAGTTTGAAGAAGGGTCTTGAGCACCAGACTGGATCTTCACAACTTTAATTGGTGGGTCCTCCCCCTGCTTTGAGTCCTTAGTTTTTGGCTTTGGAACAGAGGCGTCTTCTTGAGCATTGGGGACTTCAGCAGAATCTTCCTTTGTAGAAGGAGTTTTTTGAACAGGCAAACCTGACTGGGGATTATGGTCTTTTGGTTCTAAGACTTTTGATGGTTGTTCTTTCTTAACATTTAAATCTGAATGTGAAGCGTGTGTCTCAGATTCTTCCAAATCATCGGGTAGAGTATTTTTAGTTTGAACAGAATCTGTTTTTTGAGAGTCTTGAGCAGGACCGTCAGACTTGGGGTTCGGGGTTTTAATTGATGGCTCCTCTTCCTGCTTTGATCCCTTAGTTTTTGGCTCTGGAACAGATGGTGTATCAGATATGCCTGTCTGACCTTCTTTAGACTTATCTGTGTCTTTCTCAGTTTTGATGGATTCAGCACCACCTGACTGGGAGTTAATTGATGAATTTTCTGTTCCCTTTGATTTACCAGAATCTTGCTGAGGTGCGGGTGGGTGATTATTTTGTATGATTTGAAGTGATTTAGGGTCTGCAGAACCTATGGCTGTGCCTGGAGCACCTTGAGTCGAGTCTGTTAATTGTGTGTGATGACTGGACAACTCTACAATGTGGAAAATTTAAAGTTAAAAAGTATTCTGAATGCTGCAACAGTACTGTGTAGTAGTATATAGTAATGCAAACTGTAAAATCATGCTGAATGCATTCATCCATTAATAAATACAACTCTTTAAGTAGCTTAGCGGTAGAGTATTTGTGTAACCGACAACCTAGTTACGTGGCCTTGGACCAGAGACTGCTAACATAAACAGACAGTGGTTCATCTAAAAGCAAGAATGGAATGGTGTAACGGGAGATTGCAATGTAAATACTGTTGCATATTGTACATGTTGACAATATCATACTGCAAGTGTGAAATATAACAGATAGGTCATTTCAAGGGTATCATCAGTGTAATTCTATTATTCTTTTTACAGGTATTCCTCAACTTACAACAGTTCATTTAGTGATAGTTACAAGTTACAAGGTCAATGAAAAAAGTGATTTATGACCATTTCCCACACTTACCACCTCACTGCAGCATCCCCATGGTTACACAATCAAAATTCAGACAGTTGGTAACTGACTCATATTTATGACGGTTGCAGTGTCCAAGGATCATGAGGTCCCCTTCTGAGATCTTCGGACAAGCAATGTCAACAGGAAAACCAGATTCCCTTAACAACTGTGTTACTAACTTAATTGCAGTGATTTGCTTTTAACAACTGTGGCAAAAAAAGCTTGCAAAATGGAGCAAAACTCACTTAATGTCTCACTTAACAGCATCAATTTTCGGCTCAATTGTGGTCATAAATCAAGGATTACCTTTATCATTCTACTTCAGATATAATTGACCCAATGTATATAATTGGAGGGAATGTTTTGCTGGGGACTCACTCTCTCTTGCTATCTTGCTTGCAGGAGTCCAGTGGTCAATGTTAGTGCATTCCTATACAGTATATTTTGTTGCATCTACCTCCAATACTTTGGTTTCTAATGTCAGTGAGCAACTTTCTCACAACTGCCCCAAACATTTTCATACTGTATGTTTCATTAATAGTGCAATGTGAGTTGTATATATTCATGTCACATTAAATTCATCTCCTGCCTTATTTTTATAAACAACTCAAGGCAGCGAACACATTTCATACTCCTTCCTCCTCCTATTTCTCCCACCATAGCCACCATGTGATGTGAGTTGGGCTGACATCATGGCAAGATCTCATCATTTCAAGAAGTGCCTGTGTGGCCATTTCTAATGTCTGTGTTTTAGTATACATTTGCATGCCTGAATCAAGAAGGCAAGAAATGCCAATCACACATTGGAACTAAGCCATTAGACCAGTGTTTCTCAACCTTGACAATTTTAAGGCATGTGGACTTCAACTCCCAGAATTCCACAGCCAGCATTGTGTGTTGAGAATTGTCAAGGTTGAGAAACACTGCATTAGACAATGTGTTGTATTTTGACATAATGTTGTGAGTGAACTCTGGCAATTTTGGCACACAGTGGGACAACTCCCAAAATGCTCAGAGGACAGAGGACTCCCAAGTTTGTTTACGTGCCATTGAGTCAGTGTTGATTCCCAATGACTAAATGGACAAGTTCCTTCCTTGGCAACATGTCTGAAGCGTTGCCGCTGCCTCCTCCCTGGGGCTCAGAGACAATGATTGGCTAAGGTCATCCAGCTGATTTCATGACTAAGACGGACTAGAACTCCCAGTCTCCCAGTTTTCTAATCTGATGCCCTGACTACAATGGAGAACACCGGATAGGAAAGCCTGACTCAGATGAAGTATCTATTACCAGTCACTTCTTAACTGTCCATCGAGAAGTGACATCATCCTGTCCATAGCAGACATTACACCAGGGGTCTTCAAACTTGGCCCTTTTACGACTTGTGGACTTCAACTCCCAGAGTTCCTCAGCCAGCGTGCCTGGCTGAGGAATTCTGGGAGTTGAAGTCCACAAGTCGTAAAAGGGCCAAGTTTGAAGACCCCTGCATTACACTATCCATTATCTTTTACAAAGGCTGTTTAGACCCTGGGTGCCAGATCTATGGGGTTGAAGTCCTCTAAATTCATCCCTCCTTAGAAGATTATATATAATTTGTAAGCTTTAGGAGCTATCCAGGTCAAGCACTCAGGGGTCACAGAGAGAGAGATCCAGAAGTGTCAGAACGGCCCATCTCAGGGTTTCTCAAGGTTTTAAAATGAATGGATACAATTCCTAGAATCCCCCAGCTTTAGGGACTATCCAGGGTGCGACATCAGAGGTTGCAAGAAGAGATATCCAGAACCTGTCATACTCGCTGGGGAACTGTGGGGAGTTGGGCAGTCCAAAGCATACCCTCTAGGGAACTCTGGGACTTGTAGTGCACACATCTTAAAGCGGCTGAGGTTGAAAAAGCCTGGCCTATGTAGTCCAGGGGTCTTCAAACTTGCCCCCTTTATGACTTGTGGACTTCAACTCCCAGAATTCCTCAGCCAGGATGCTTTAAGACAGGGGTCTTCAAACTTGGCCCTTTTATGGCTTGTGGACTTCAACTCCCAGAATTCCTCAGCCAGGATGCTTTAAGACAGGGGTCTTCCAACTTGCCCCCTTTATGACTTATGGACTTCAACTCCCAGAATTCCTCAGCCAGGCACGCTGGCTGAGGAATTCTGGGAGTTGTAGTCCACAAGTCATAAAAGGGCCAAGTGTGAAGCTTCAATCGCCAAGAGCAAGCCGAGGAGAAGCCTTTGGAGCGGGCAGCGGTGATCATCCTCCGTTACCCCTCCATCCTCCTACCCGCCATAGCCAAGCGATGGGCCCAGGTCTGCGGGCAGGACGGGGAACCCCTTAAGAGCCCCCACTGACCTGGTCCATTCGCCCCCGGCGCCTTCCCGTGGTTCTCTTCTGCGTCCACGGGCGCCGCACTCCCCCAGGCAGCCAGCTGACATAGGAGGAGACCCCAGTACCAACACGCCGCCATGCCTGCTCAGGAGTGCCTTCTACTTCCGCCCAGTTGCGAGCGGAACAGGAAAGCCCCTTTCGACGGCCCTCGGAGCGCCCGTTTCCGCCGACGCTGTTCTCGCGAGAGCTGGAGGGAACTTCTCGGGAAGGCGAGAGGAGGGGCGGGAATCCGCGGCTGGGCGTGGCTTACGGTTCCAGGGAGGCGGGGTTGGAGCTTGCCGCTGGAAGGCGAGCGCGCGCTTTAATCTTGCTCGTGTGAATATGCACCAGTCTCGGGCCGTTTCCTTATTTTATTTTATTTTATGTTTTTCCCCCTGCAAACTTGAGAGTTGACGTGGATCACTCAAACATGGCAGTTTTCAGACGTGTGGATTCGAAAGCCCAGAATTGCCCCAGCCAGTGTGGGGAATTGAAGTCCACACATTTGAAAACTGTCAACACGGATGTAGAGGAAACTCTCAAAATGGCATGTATTGCAAGCCGGACCAAACTGGAAAAAAAAAATACAGGTAATAATGCCTTGCTGCATTGCAGAGCAAAAGACCTGGGTGTCCCACAACTGGACTGGAACAGATTGATGGCAATTCCATCTCTCCCCCCCATCCCTTCCTCTGCTCTCTGCCTGTCCATCTTTCCTTTTTGGTAATCGTAATTGTATTTCTCGCTGTATTCTTTTAGTAACAAATAACGTAACGAGACGATAGAAGACAAATGCGAGACAAGTAAAGAAGGAAAACTGACAATATTTGGCGGATCTTGTCCCCAAGGGTTGGCCCCCACGCTCTACTATAAGGTCCCCCACGCTTTTGGACCCAAATCTTCAAAGTTTTAACATCACATATACGCATTAAGTAAAACTAGAAAACATTCCCCAACGAGAATATAATAATAATAATAATAATAATAATAATAATAATAATAATAATAATAATAATAATAATAATAATAATAATAATAATAAAAGTTGGAAGGGACCTTGGAGGTCATCGAGTCCAACCCCCTGCTCAGGCAGGAAACCCTACACCATTTCAGACAAATGGCTGTCCAGTTTCTTCTTAAAAACTTCCTGTGTTGGAGCATTCACCGCTTCTGGAGGCAGGTTGTTCCACTGGGTAATTGTTCTAACTGTCAGGAAGTTTCTCCTTATATCAGAAGCATTCGAGGGGTGTGAGGTATAGAAAAGGCTGGGGAACCACTGACCTAGAATAACCCCACAGTGAGATAGAGCAAGTAAATGCAACAATAACTAATAGTAAAAGATTAAAAGTAAACTTAAGGAAAATGTAGGTTATGCCAGAAAAGTGCTAAAGCGGGACAAACACACGCTGGGTCTGCACATTTGGTTAACTATAATGGAGTTTGTTCTGTTTTAATTTAGGTTGTGGGAACTCGGGTGCTCATGAAACAAAGCGTGGTTGAATCCAGGGTGTGAACTCAGCTTTGGCATTAGATGCGTCAACAAAGCCTGGGTGACTTGGGCCAATCACTTTCTCAGTCCTAGGAAGGAGGCAATAGCAATCCTACTTCCAAACTCTTGCCAAAAGAACTAAAAAGGACTTGTGCAAGCAGTCACAGAAGCCAACACTAACTTGAAGGTGCCACACAAAACTGCAGCTTTGTTTTTTTTTTTACTCAGCGTGCAAAAACTCCCTCTGTTAAAGAATGGCGATGCAGCACCATCTTGTGGTCTGTATCTTTTCTCCTGATACTGGTATAGTTTATTTAATCAAGGCTACTTGATAGCACATTGCAAAGTCTTATTTATTGATCTTCTTCTTGTGCCATATCCGTTATCAGACATTGGCGATCATGTTGGCGATCCTGTTTTTATCAGCAGCCGCATGAAAAAGTGCTGCTGAGTTTTGTCGTTTGGTCAGGGAATCTAAAACTTCGGTACTACAAGAAGAAGACGGACCTGGAGCAAACGGAAGTTAGAAAGGGACCTCCTAATTTACCTCATACGGCATAAAAAGTATCATAGGGTACAGGCTTTATAAGATTAAAAGTAAAAAATTAACAAAACTACTAAAGGGAACCGAAAGGGTCCGCCGAATAGGGGAGGAGTATTCTGATCTTGTCAACCCAGCTTATACGTAACAGCCACCTGTAAATCCACATTTCAAATGCTTCTAGTCTCTTCAGGTGGCCTTCTGTCAGAGACCAACTCTCTCTACTCCATAGAGCAGGATAGAAAAAAATATAGCATCTCTAACTGCTGCAGTACTCAAAAGATAAAGCCAAGCTATTGTATTCTCAGCCCAATCCTCAGAAGACAGGATGCTCGCAATATACAAAGTCCGCTAAATGCAACCGTTTCCATTTTTTTTTACTACACTTGAGTCTTACAATGGATTTCACAATGAGTGTCATAAAGAATTGGTAGCATCCTTCTAAGATAAAACCAAATACAGTACAGTTTTTCCAGCCTTCCATGATGTAATGGACTGCCTTGTTTTAATCTTCCAGCAAGTTTATTTGCTTGAAGGAATTATAGATTCTTAAAACAATTGGGTGGTTCTGGTGATAGTAAGTGGAGTTTTTGTTATATAATGGCTAGTTCAACACAATGCAAATATTTTCTCAATGAATCATTTAAGGATGTGCTTATAACATTGGTTTTAACTCTTGAAATTTTTAGACTTTAGAAAACACTGGAAACTTTTCTCATATTTAGAAATTCTTCTCATGGAATTTTTAAAAAGAAGGCAGAGATTATCGTTTCTGATTTTAAAGCCCAGGAAAGTGCAGCTATTCCATTCATGACTCCAAGGCAGGAATCTGTGGTTTTGTGAATTTGTACAGCCACTTTGCAAACCCTTTGAAATTCCAGGGATTGTTAGGCCGTTTCAGGAAAGCTGCAATTTGGATAATTAGAAACTTTTTCCAGTTTTTTCCTTTTCTGCATAGGACTGTAGCCTGGATGGGAATATTCCAACAGCACAAAGTCAGATGGCCTTATCTTTGATTTGGTTATATTTTTTAAGGCTTTCCAGAAGCACTGTCAAAATGCTGTTTATGGAGACAACACATTTCTTAGAATCAGGAGATTTCTTATGTATATGTAAGAGAGAAACTGTTATTTGCTGTAGCTGAGTATATTCATCCAGAATAAAAAATAGGGGTTCAAATATCCCCTTCTTGTATTTACTGCTGAATAAGCTTCATAAACAAGATTATTGGGGTAGTAGAGGTGAATCATTACTGTAGGAAAGGAATTGGCTGGCCAGATTTGTTTATTATTTATGGTTTTTATATCCCACTGAATTCCTCAGAGACTCCTGTGATTTACAGACGTGGCGTTGTTGAGCTTAAATGTGTTCTGCTTCTGTGCATGATGGCGCCATTGAAATCGTTTTTGATTAGGGAGTCTTATAAATTGAATGAATTATGGTTAATAATTAATATTAGGATGTGATTTAGGGCAGCAAGCCATTGTGACTTATTTAAAAATGGTTTAAGACAATGGCTTAACACAGTGTTTCCCAGCCTTGGAAACTGATGAATGTGGACTTCAACTCTCAAAATTCCCCCTTCTGAGGATTGGCTGGGGAATTCTGGAGAGTTGAAGTTCACACTTCTCAAAGTACTTAAGGTTGGGAAACAGTGGCTTAACACAAGAGCTGGACTTAACTACAGGCACCTAGGTTGCTAAGCCATAAAGCACAATTTATGAAACATTGTGATTAAGCTGCTAAGCTAAAAGCAAACAACCCACATACTAGTTTAGTGCAAGCTAAGGTCCAGCCATAGTCTTGCTGCAATCCCATGAATACTGCATCCAGTTTTGGTCACCACGATGTAAAAAAGATGTTGAGACTCTAGAAAGAGTACAGAGAAGAGCAACAAAGATGATTAGGGGACTGGAGGCTAAAACATATAAGGAACGGTTGCTGGAATTGGGTATGTCTAGTTTAATGAAGAGAATGACGAGGGGGGACATGACAGCAGTCTTCCAGTATCTCAGGGGCTGCCACAAAGAAGAGGGAGTCAAGCTATTCTCCAAGGCGCCTGAAGGCAGGACGAGAAGCAACGGATGGAAACTAATCAAGGAGAGAAGCAACCTAGAACTAAGGAGAAACTTCCTGACAGTTAGAACAATTAACCAGTGGAACAACCTGCCTCCAGAAGCGGTGAATGCTCCAACACTGGAAGTTTTTAAGAAGAGACTGGACAGCCATTTGTCTGAAATGGTGTAGGGTTCCTGCCTGAGCAGGGGGATGGACTCGATGACCTCCAAGGTCCCTTCCAATATTATTATTATTATTGTTGTTGTTGTTGTTATTATTATTATTATAAGTTCCACTAAACAAAGTGAGAACTATTCTGATTATGATATATATCTTGATGTCACTATTTTGAATTGCCGAACAGGAAACCATGCTCCACTAAGTCTTTCAATAGCTTTTTCCTGTCCTAGGTGATTTTTGAAAGAAGCCATCTTTAGGATCTGGTCCTGCAAAAAGTGATAGAGTAGAATGGGGGTGTCCAACCTTGGCAACTATAAGACTTGTGGACTTCAGCTCCCAGAGTTTCCCAGCCAGCCATGTTGAAGTGGAGTTGAAGTCCACAAGTCTTCAAATCAAGTTGTCTAGGCTGGACATCTCTGGATTAGAAGATAGGATTTAAATAAGTATGCTTAGTAAGGCTGGTTCACTCTTCCTAGCCTTGTGAAGTTGGCTATAATCCATTTCAGGATTTTTAACCAAGTTCGTTTATTTAGTTAGTTAATTTAAACACAGATTTTAGCATGTTACACAAACGTATCTAAACCTCAATAAAGGTAACTGTCAAGGAATATCACTCAAGACCACTTCTGTACCAGTGGAGCCACAAATCAGCCAAATGTTTTAGCTGAGCCTGTGATATGAACCCGACCTTTGTAATTAACTTATGATTCAATGTATTATGCAAATGAAGAAAATTAAGTAAATGGAGTAAAACATTATTACATTAACAACGGACGATCATATCTGCAAACATAATGTTTCCATGCTATTTTATTGGCTGACAATCTGGCAATAATGCATGGGAAGGGCCCTTTTTAAAATAAAAAAAAAAGTAGAGAAAAAAAGAGCTGCTTTGGAATATAAAATG